GCTCCCTTGGTGTTATTATTACACTTTGCAGGAAACACAGCTGTGAAAACGCACCAAAGGCTACAATCGTTCTCGCAAGTTCTGTCATCCAAATACCAAAGTGATGTCCATATTCAAAGTTCTAATAGGTGTCCGTAGATTTAAGTATTTAGAATATTTTCAGATTACGCTATCTCAGAAATAAATGGTGTAATAACGAATTGAGGTCGAACAGATGGTCTGACAACATAATTTTGACGAGTTCTACTGGCTGATTTCATGTTTAAAATTAACTCTGAACCACTAAACCGGTTATTGTCAGAAGTTACAGAAAAATATCATTGAGAACTACCGGAAAGCAAACCAAGATATGCATTTTGGATAGCACACAGATTTCACAAGTAAACAAGTTTTATAATAAAAGCAATTAGGTTTTAGAGAATAAAGCATTGTCGCAGTCTATAGACAACAGTACCAAACCTGTATGTAAACGATTACATTCGCGCATAGCGTTCACATAAGGGTCATGTATGGTGCTCAATTTGCACCGTTTTCCAACACAAATGTCAATTCAATTTCACTAAGAGACAGGTACAGAAAAGAAATCAGTGCATGGTAAAAAACTAGTATGTCATCCCCTTTGATAGTGATTATTTGTTCTCAAAGCGACTAACCTACTTCGAACATATCAGTCATCGGACTCAAGAAAAACGCCTGGAATGGTTCAACAAACTCATGTATCGTATTACTGCAACTTAATTCACTTAAACTACTGAAAACGTTTTCAATATGAAATACAATTTATCGTAGAGTTTATCCCAGAACTCTGTCACTCTCCAATGTTTCTCTAACACAGTACACACATGAAAAAGACAAAAGACGTCGCCAAGTTTCAATGACTAGCAGGATAAAGACTCAAAAAATGCCTAATGTATCAATCTGACGCAGAGTTCATAGAAAAACTGGGAGCAGACTGGGCCAACCGCTGTGACAGGTTGCGATTCCGTACCTTTTAGGATATCAACGCATGTACTTCATTAATTGTTACCCTTTTGTTTATCAAATTTTTCTTGAATCTATAATCCATGTGTTTTGTTCAACTGGAAGAAAATTTTACAAAACGAGTAATTTTGTTTGGCGACAAATTTATCATTCCAAATGACGGAGTCTGTTTGTTTTCAGTTCATCAGAATGGGGTAAGTTACATCAACAGAGGCCACGGAAAATTTACAAATGTATCTTATAAGATAAATCTGTGTTCAGTGCTTTCACAATCATTTAAACCGTATTCTAGGCAAAAAAGTGAAATCTTTTTTGTTGAGTTCAGTCGTTTTTAACCCAAATGGTATTTAAAGTTACAAATCGACAAATTAACCTTTGCTTTTGTTCGAAGCAGTGTCTCTCCAATGGTGGAAAAAGGAAAGCTAGTAGCACAACGTTAACATATTTTGGTTCGGAATATGGGAACCGGAAAACCTAAAGAACATTACATTACATTACATTTTAGGACGGATTGGTATAACGCACGTTGTTTTGGTCAGGTTTAAAGGGGATACTTTTGAGGATTAGATGCTGTCGTTGCTGTCCTACGGGTCCCGCGCTGGGGCCTCCCCATTTTATCCGACAGCCAACGGAATTGAATTCAACGTTTCAAAATGCAATTATTTCCATGCGACTCAAGACTTATTTCTACTATGATCTTAGGAACCAAAAACCTTCGCATGTCAATGGGTTTTGTTAGTTATGGCACAGGAGTACATAGGATGCTCCACGCACTATGCCAGAACATCATCTATGGCTATAAAGCACGTTGCTATCAGCGTTCGTTCGCCTACACAGAAATGAACGATCGAATATGGAATCCACAACAAGAAGACTCTAGAATGTCTACAAATTTGGCGAAAATGGTAAAAGGTCTCTATCACACATGACAGATTCAGAAAGTCAGCAAATAAAATGCATTTACTGGTCTCAGTACCATCGACTTGGGGGAGGCCTAATCTCGAAATACCACATACTGCATCAACCCAACCACCCTTGTTCGGTGTTGACTCTACCTCAAAGCAAATATCTCATTTGGTATCCACTGAAGCACAGGACCTAAGACAGCCAACAGATTGTTTGCTTTACTCGCTCGTATTCATATTGTGCGGTATACGGTATTTTCTTTCATCCCGTTTTGCGTGCCCCCACAGTCAAAATTATTCAAATCGCAGCTTGATAAAGCATTACATCACGTAACATGAGAACATCTGAGAGTGGTAATGCATAATATCACTATTTTCTATTTGTAAAATTGCCCGAAACATTGTGTAAAATAATCTATCTGGCATGATATACGTAGGCTTTTTTTAAACTGCTCATAAGAAAATCTTCAGAAATTTGAACTTTGAAATTAGATAACCAAGGTAACGAAAAATCATTGTTATATGAAACTCTATTTATGAGTCAAAATCGTTTGGCGTAATCACAAATTGTTTAGCAGTTGCAAAAGTGAAGATCATTCCGAAGTAACCGTATAGAAACAGGTTTATAAGTGCCGAGTTTAATCCTAAATGTGCTTAGGTATATTAATTTCAAGCTAATGGTTTCATTGTGATCATTGATGCGAAGGCTAGATTATACACGTACAACACTAGTACATGTTTAACTTGACCGAGAAAAAGTTAACTCAGAATAAATTATTTCCTGGAATTAAGTGTGGCTTAATCCATTTTATTTGGTTTTTTCATACGTAATTCAAACAATAAACGGAAAAGGAGTGTGCTATTTGTGGTTCTGTCATTATGTTTTGTCAGTATCAGGGTTATTCGATCATCACAGGGGAGGCTCAAACTTTAGAATATTGAACGCAAGACTAAATTCATCTCGATGATCAATAACCAATCGTTGACCGCGCTGATCAGTCGAGAAATGACGACGTTTTCGATCTTGCAATGATATTATCACGCCAGTTTTCGGTATATTCAGTATATCTCAAGTAATCTATTTTACCTCTTTTAGTGGAAGTTGTGTGAGGTGTGGTAACGGAACAGAAGCTTTAAGCGACTGTGAATACATCAAGTTGATACGTATCAACGCAAGTAAATTTAGCGTTGAATCCAAGGAACAAGATCGCAACCAAAAGTGCAGATCACCACCACATTTTCAATACAGAAAATCCGTAAACGCAAAAATCACATTAAGAATACGGAGTTGTATAGTGAAAGTGACCAAGTTTGATTTTGTCAGTTGTGCCAGAAACTACACATCTCTCTTACGAAAATGAACTTTATTTCATAGTGAATGTGAATGATTCTCTTCCTCCTGTAGAAAAACAACATTCATAAAGATAACCGGAATGATTGTTAATTAATACGTTTAGTGTCCCAAGAAATTCTGGACAGACCACTCTCTAATCAAGTATGATTTTACATTCACTGTAGGAAAACAGCAATAATAATTTCAATGTCTGCTACTCTTCTTTGGAAAACAAATTTGAGTGAATTCCAAAGAGGAATCATATGCGTTTCGTTCTGATATTTTTCAGCAGCGTGCCAGCTTAAACATTTTTTGTTTTTTCTGAATTCTGAACCCCAGCCTTCGACTTAGGGGACAAACATTTTCCCTGGACTACGATTTTGATTGTTTTCATCCTGCATGATTGATTTCTGTGAGCGTTCCATCGCATCCCAGTTCACAGACTCCGGGGTTTTTCAATTCCCTTGGGCAAGTATGCAGTGCTCATTTGGTCAAGTAAAATACAACAAATTAATACAATCCCTGGGAATGAGGCTCGTAGAAACAGTGCAGCACATACGTAATGATCTAGACTGATCCGTTTGGATTCAAACAGTCATTTCAAGTGAAAGTGAAACTGAAGCCGAGTGCTTTCTACGTGTGCGGTTGGTAGACTGAGGTGAGGATCGTGGGGACATGGACTCAGAAATAAGATTAGTGAATGTTTTCCCCATTTTCCTTCCCAAATAGAGGCTCGAAACCGATATCCGTAAACAACTTTAGTCACAAACATAGATACTAATCCACTTACCTGACCGATTACATATAAATAATAATAATGACTTGGTGAAACTATATCGTACAAAAATGGTTAAATCAAGATTGCCTGTCAATGAACGTGAAATATCGGGATGAGCGTTAACTTGAGCCAGTAGATTAATCGATTGCTGATGCCAACGAATGACGTAAACTAGTGAAGCAGTTTTGTTTGAATTGATATAGCTCAGATTTGATGAGTTTCACAGATTCAGCCCAAAAAATTTCCTTTGACATCTTATTTCCCATAAGAAGATAAACCTTGTCAACCTGATAGACAACTTGATTCACACCACCCACACACTTCACAAGGTTTTCAATCAATCCGTTTCAAAGATTCAACACGCTCAGGGATTTCCACCGGATAGCACAATAGTTTTTCACATACTTCTTCTGTGTAGCTTGTTCTCGCGATCCGCAAACAAGGTCTAGTTGTGTAGGACAGATATGTGCACGTATCTGTAATGGGTGCGTCCCCGAGGTTCGGAATTCCCTCGTTGATTGGTTAAAATGCACACGGTCATATCACCAATCAGTGTCCAGTTCAAGATCGGCATCGATTTGGCCTTTCGTGTGTATACATCTTCATTCATTTTTGGACCAATCCATCACCATGTTTAGCATCATGATCGCCAACATCATCATGTGACTGAAAGCGAACTCTTTCATATGCGCTTTTACTCAATCCAATGGTACAAGTAAATGTGTGCTCGTTTTGATCACACACACACACGCGCATACCCACAGGTGTACACGCCTTGTTTCTATGCTGATATACGAACAAGTAGGTGCATAAAACCGCAAAGTAGACATACACCCTGACATATGCGTGCACAAACTTTGGAGGCTTTGATCCGTTTGTCATTTGCATGTGCATATCGCGGTGTATTCTCAGTCAGGTGTGATCTGTGTTATCTGTGTACACTGGAGGAGGATTGTTAACAACGGAGACAGCTAAATTGGCTTTACTGTGTAATCTGTACAGCATGAATGATTCGTACAACCGTGTTGGACGTTCCCTGACATCATATACACTAGACCAGTTGTGTGAATCTGCATCCCGATTGTCACGCAGTCGCTATCATGGATTACGAAGTACCCATTCAGTTCAAGTTCCTCATGTGGACACTCCGAACCCAATCCGACGAGCTGCAACATTGGAAGGTAGGACAAGGTATATTTGCATCACTCCGAGCAGCACGCGAGAAAGTTGGCTCAAACGAGCTCAAAGTCCTTCAGTCAGTTCTAGTCCATCAAATGTGACCGATGCGGTGTCCACACAATTTCCCAACTCACATTCCGACGGAGCGCTGATGAAACGACTTGCTCCGGGGACGGAAACCGGACAATCTGTTAAATCTAAGTCTCCCTATCGAACACGATTTGCACGACGAATATACACTTCAACCACACCGGGTCAAAGTGAAAATGGTGATCTGTCTCGTTCCCAGTCCAATGAACTGCGTGACAGTTTGCAAGCAGTTAATCGGAGCATAAGCCCCGGACCAAAACGGTTGCAGCCACAATCGGCTACGAGTGACACCCCGCCGACAAAACATATATCGCGACCGGCCATTCCTAATTTGGGAAAAGGGGCGGATACTAGAGGAATTAGTAGTGTATCAGTGCCCAGTGAAACACAGGTTCCAATGCAAATGCGATCATCCAAATCGACTCAATTTGAACCGGTTTCGGCTGATGCAAAACCCGTAGTATCGCAAAAAGCACATCCTGCGGAGAAAGCTGAAGTGAAAATGAAACTAGAGGATAAAACCAAATTACAACCAACTAAGTCGGATTCTAATCCACGAAAGTCCAAAAGCACTCGGAAGCCAAGATTAATGTTTACCCGTGCACTGTTAGAAGAATCGTCTGTTTCTCCGATAATCAAAGTGAGTTCACCATATGCAGTTTGTCTGGTAGCATGAAATTACATTTTAGTGGTATACGTTGATTGACAAAAAGACGACTAAATTAAACCAAGTAAATTACACCTCTGCGATGAAACCACCCATATAACCCACATGTGCAACAGAATACAACTCACATGTAGTTTACTGAACATGTTAGGAATGCCATGGGTTTACTGACAGCAAAAAGTAGTGCGTTCTTAGAAGTGAACTTTACAGTCCCTTGTGAAATGTACTTCATATTGAAACCCTTTTCAAGACTGACTTCGGGTTATTGAGCGGCCTCAGAATATTGTCAGGACGCCCCACTAAGCCTTGATAGTTTTGGGCAGCACTGTTCTAGTACGCATAGATATTCTGCTCTCAACGTGTATTATATCAAGTGGTTTAACTAATCCAACTCGTTTGTTGGCATTAAAATGTAGACCACTCCCGCCCATCAATTTACATTTCTCTTTGAATATCTATCTCTATTGAGACTCTCAACACTAGCTCACCCGGGAAAAGCTTTGTGGCTACCAAACACTGCGATAGCTAGATAAATTTCATTTAGAGGGATGCTACTTCAAAATCACTATTTCGCTACCAGGTGGGTTTTCTCACGGAAAACGACACTGTCAAAACCCCTGCAGAGTCATTAAGAATTTTTTGTAAATGAATTGCATCAACACCAGTATCCCAACCGGAAACTGAATCCAAATACATATAAACCAGTTACGCTGTTGGTAGGACGTCATTGATCTCCGGGTGGAGGACACACTACACAAAAGTGCATGTATCAGTTCCAATACCGTTGAGACCATTTGTCTTTCCACCATTAAAATAGAAACATTTACCGAACATTTACCAACAGAACAGAATGTTTCTTTAAACCTGCATACCTCACATACACAACTGATTCTCCAGTGTAAATTAAACTAATCTTTACATAAAATATGAATAAAAACTAATGGCAATGTAAGTAACGTATTCATACAATAACAACCAGAAAGAGGACGTGTCTTAGTTTGAAGACTCCAATGCCAAACTATTCAGCAGTAAGCCATAATATAGCTGACATTTAGCTACTGCCACTGTACATTTACGGTAATCGAAATTCGGGTTTTCAAATAAATAGCGTTTATTCTCATTCTTTGATCTTAGTATGCAGAGTTTAAGCTGAGATACGGTCAAAGAATGGATTTAGTGGAAGCAAATTCTTCACTGTTGGATGTTTGAATTCAGAAATTATTGAATGGATTGAAAAATATTCGGTATTCTGTGTTTTATACCTAACCATTTATTGGTAGTGGGCGATCACTGTGAAGAGGCGCGTTAAGGATTCGCCTTCTGTTTATTATAGGGGAAAACTAATCACCGTTGCCTGTTCACATAATTTCCAATTGAACGGTGTTTCTTGTGACCGAGCAGGGCTGACTTCAAACATCGCACATAAATCCCAATAAATCCCAAAGAAGAACTCCCTGTATACTGGCACCGTCGACATATTGCTATTTGTGTTCCAAATGTGAAAAAATTCAACAGTTTTCTACTTTATTTTCGTTTTTTATTGATACGCTTTCTGTACACACTCAAAGCTAGGAGCAACCCACGCAAACAAGGCGAGTTTCTCTGACCCTATGTAGCCTGTTGTATTTAAAGAGTGCGCCGACTACCTCATGTTCCTTTTAATCGATATCTTCATGTCTTGTTTTTCACATGATATAATTGCTAACATTTGGGGACCCGCCTGAATAACTCTCGTCCCGAAACACGAGCCTGGAAAATAACGCTCAATATCCTGTGCTATGTTGTGATTTTGAGTAGATGGTTTGAGAGATGGTTTCTGAATCGGTGGCGAAAGATGATTGCCAATTCACATGCAGACCGTTACGCGACACTTTGGTTGTCGTCACATACTTGGTACGCTGCATTGACTTGGCTAGAATTCACTCAACATGGGTAAATGGAGCTTATCATTAACGTTACTTAGAACAACTTCGTACAGAAAAAGTCCACACGCGATGTTTCTTTTTGTAATTTATTCAAGAAAGCCTTTCAAAGTAGTGAGGCCCAAGAATTAAAATTAGGGTTTAATTAACTGAAAAATTTTAATAAAAACTTGATCCATTTTGTAACTACAATTATTAGTTATCTAGACAAGGAGAGTTTTTGTTGGAAACCCTGATATAGTACAAAAGTGAAAGAAACTGCAGTCTAACAGCGCTTTGCACCAGAATAAATCTAAAAGAGCAAATGGCACTAATGTCACATTTTACTAATTGAGCTGGTGATGGTATTTTCAAGATCCATGAGTCTCTTCTGTTTCAACTTTTATTTTCGCTCCTAAACCTAATTCAAAATTTAAAATGGGCAAGTTACGGGATAGTTTCGATCGCTTTGATGGTTCCTTTATACAAAATGGAGCTGTCTTAGGATTCTTGATTTGAAAATATGATCCAGAGTGGTGTCATCAACGTTTATTGATTATTGATTGTGGTCTCAGGAAGAAGTACATTGCTTTTTTCAGTGCAAGTGTGCAGTGGACTAAACCCCTTTTTTGGAACCTGCTCTGCTCAGCCGAAACAGCTATATTGTAATATACCTAAGTAAAAACGTTGTGCAACTAAGCATTTTACCGTTTGATACATGTTTCTCAATTGAGCGGGTCACATGCCACATGAGATTAGCATGACTTTTTGAACCCGACGGACAAATCCATAAATTATTATTGATGGAAATTGATTCATTCTCATCTATGCATGCATACTGCTGCCGAATAGAAACATATAAATGAAAATTAGCCATTGGGTAATTTTATGTGTACAGTGAATTGGTCATTTAACCCATCAGCCTAATGTTACATTGGTAGTTGTAACAATATTTGGCCGTTAGAATCGCAATGTTTAGTTTTCTATAGGGGTCACAGAAAATCAAATGCGTAGTATGATCTACATGTCTGCTAATGGACAACTCTGTCCACAATTACAAATTTCGATGACGCTAAATCTCTGTTTTCGCATCGTAAACAAGAGTGATGGTAGCGCATCGCAACTCGTTGATCTCGCACCATCGCATGATACATTAAAAATTATTTTGAACGATGGTTTCCGGCCCTGTTAAGACCCATTCTCTCTCGTTTGTTTTCGCGTAATTATTTATATCTGAGCTACTCAACAGTAAAGATTATTATACTTTTGACTTCCGAGTCTTTGGTCAGAAATTTTATCGTCGCAAACTGACAAGGTATGTCGTCAATTGGTTCAGACCATTCGATACTTGGATGTTCATGCTGCACAAGAACAGAATTTCACTTCTATACGGATTGGTTTCGTCTGTATTTTATCACTAGAATTAATTAGATCGATTTAAATGTTGCATCTGAAGGACGACTTGCTTAAATCAAAGTCATATCAAATAGTTTGTTCATAGAACCCTCATGTGAACAAACCGAATCCACTGCTAACTGAAGCAACAAAAACATTAGGTTGAGTACAGATCGATGAAACTGGATAAAATTACTTTATTTACTCGGATTTCAAGTTCACTTCTAACATTTTCAAAGTGAGCGATCTGTCCTACAAGGTTAGGTGCGGTGAACAAGTCGTATACTTATATAAGCTCCATTAGATGCTTCAGTTGGTAATGCGTGTCAGACGTGCTTAGATTACATGCGCTCAAATCGGATTGGAAAGACTGTATCCTTTGGTCAATTCAAATGTTTCTCAAAAAGGTTTTAAATGCTTGAAATCGCTGGGAAGTCGATAGTAGGATAAACGGAGTCCCAAATTACCTCCTTCATATGGATAACTATCGAAGATATCTACTTATCAGTTTGAGTGTTTGAGGGGTAAACCAGGGAAGAAGACAGTTGATGGAATAAAATGTAAACATACAAAGACAGTTTAACAAGACTGACGTATGGCAAGGAATCAAAGGCAAGCAGTAAAACCGAAATTATTCTTACTCAGGGAAACAAAGCGATTGCCTGTTCAAACAAAGTGAGATATCTGGTAAAGATTAAAACCAAGACACTTGATTGGTCCTTTTTTATTCCGAATGCCCTATAGGCAAACGTTTGAGAACTGGTATCAATAATCTCATTTTATGGAGGTTCTTTCGGACAACGGAAAGCGATATATGTGCTCTCGAAAACAGCCATTGAAAGGTTACAAGTTGCAGACCAGTGAGTAACTTGCGAGATTTCACCCTATATTATCGAAAGAACATTCATTATTGACAAAGTATTAAAAATAGGTTCTCGTAGCTCGGGTAAACTGAATTCCATTTCGCCTGTTCGCCGAGCTTGGCAATTTTTCTGTAAACGTTTCATCACCAGCCGAGGTGACATCATCGGTGCTTGTGAAATGGCCTAAGCACTAACGATGTCACCTCGGCTGGTGATTAAACGATTGCAAACAAATCGTCCAGCTCGGAGAACAGCCGGAACGAAACAGTCGTTATTATATGTTGATTTGTAGACACGTTCTTCGGCATGTTTATCGGAAGATAACCAGAACAACAACTAAATCAAATGAAGAAGCAGAAGATAGCAAGAGGTGACACCGCCTTGTGAACACCAATAGAAAAGACCAGTAAAGCAGAGATTTTGACATAAAATCCGATAGATTACCGTCAACTATTTAAATGGGCTGATACACCTTATGCAATGGAGGAAAGATGACCTTCTATTGCACGAAGAGATAAAAGCAAGTCTCATCTCACGGTGTCGAAATAGCGGTAGTAATAAAGCTGCAAGATTTAACGGCTCTAGATCGAGCAAAATAAAATATGTGAATGCTGCAGTACAATCAACTCTTATTCACCATAATCGATGCACAAACTGTTTTGTTTCAGTTGTTTTACCATTTTACAGTTTATTTAAAACGAGCCATTTGAATACTTTTGGGGAAGATGGGATATGGTGTGTGTGATGAATCAATGAGGCATTCTTCAAAAGAATTAGCGTAAAGTTAACAGATTTCAAAAATCGTAAATCTCTCGGTAAACCAAATGTTAACTAAATGTGTCCTTACTTG